TCCCTCGAGTTGTTTATGAAGAACAGAAAGTTCATGCTTTTCAGCCATTCTCTCTGCCATGTCCTTCGTCTTTGTTTGTCTTTTTGGACGTCACAAGCCATAGCTGCCACAAAGAAAACTATTTCGTCCTCAGAATCCATATTTTTATGAATGGCGCGAAATGTAATGCTTACATCAGAGTTTGTAAAATCGTAGTAAATTTGTGTCGTGTGTGACTACCTCCGTACGATTTTCGTATAAACTCAATCGTGACATGTGCGAGGGCTCACGACGTTCTGATCTTCAGAATCGCACCGTGTACGCCCGCCTTTATTCTAGACTGCATTAAACACAGTCAAGCATGTGTAATGCATGTGCTCTCAAAGGTAACACCAAGGTTTATCAAAAAAATTAAAGTTAAACAGCATGACACCGCTAGTGTGTATTAGTGTGTATGTCCAGTATGTGTTTTTTCCATAATCAGCACTACCTGCAGAGATTGATAATGTTGTATACTATGTTGGGATCTGGAACACTGTGTGATTGGGATGCCATCAATCAGCAATCAGAGATATTTTAGTAGCTTAATTCATTAGAAATTTTACCATCTCCAACAGTGACCCAAGTGCAACCGTAATTGCTTGTACCAGGCCAAAAAATCCATCAAATTCATTAGCAAGTGCACAAATTGTTACTTGCGCTAAGATGAATAAATGCCTTCCAAAAGCTCTAAAGCCTGCTATCCATGTAAACAGTATTTCTTTATCCATGTAAACTGTGTTTTCTCTATTCCAGTGTTTCCTATTTACTCTACTGTTCAAGTTTAGAATCACAATGAAGCTGTCTTTGAAAGAAACCCAACTCTTCAAGGCTGCATTAAACTGATTAAAATCAGCGACTGATTTCAAATAAATTCTGTTCTTCAATAAAAATCCTCTTGTGCTGCACAACCAACCTCAACTGTGCTAATATTAAGCACCACAGTATCAAATTAGCATATTTTTATGATTCCTTAAGGGTGAGACGATACAGGGCTTTCTTAAGAGACTGTAGCAATGGCTGCTACACAAATGATGCTTGGTAACCACACTATGGAAGTCAATGAGGACCCGCAGCAACTGTTTGATTACCAACATTTCTTCAAAATATCTTCTTTTATCTTTAAGAGACGAATGAAACTCATATAGATTTAGAACAACTTACAGGCAAGTAAATGATGACAGAATTTTCATTTTTGGGTCAACTATCCCAACTATTAACTATTACTCCACTGACAGAAAGACAAATCCCAGCATAGTAGCATCGCTTCCTCTCAAGTAGCTTCTGGCCTGAAGCACCGCCATCACATTCACATAAGTTATAGGACCTCAGAGAGAATGCAGTGAGCTCATGGGAGGAAAATGAGATGCTGCCTCCCACTGAAACTTTATCTGCTGTTGAAAAATGACTGCCCTACATGTTGTTTGGTCTCTTATTTTTTATACTTTTCAATTATTTTCTCATTTTAATTTTCCTGAGGCACCTCTGCTTCCTCTCGTTCCTCGGAGAAACACCCCTACTCAGAAGGCAGCATAATTATGTTGCTTAACTTTCGGAACAGGCTTTGTGTCGCATGACTGTGAAGCCTTAAAATGCTGTCTAGGGAAGCAGCTCACTAAATTTCAGAGACATTTAAAAGAAGTCAAATCTGCATATGAATGCCAGTTCTGTCAATGTGACCACATTACAAGACCATCACGAACAAATGCTATACCAAATGCAATATCCCTAAAGAAAAGGCAAAGCGAGATACAACTATAATTTTGGAAACACTGATTCATGAGAAAGCAGTGGTGAGTTATCGCCTGCCAAGCCCAACATGACAGACCTTCAACAGGCCAGAAAACAGCAGGGGGCTTCATGGGACCTCCAGGAAGTCTTGGCCAAGGAAAGAGTAAAGTGACAATCCTTTTTTTCATACCATATGCCACACAGGTCCAAGAACACACGCTTATTTCTTCACATTACAGGAACTGTTCTTTTTAAAAGCTCTATTATCCAACAAAATCTGTACATTTACAAGAACACTTAAGTGGTGCTTGATGGTGTCCAACCCGCCGCCACAATGATAGTGTTCAGAATCGTCAAAAAACATCGCTATGTACTCGCTATGGTGATGTCTTTGCAGTTTCTGGTTTTAGTCAGGGTTTTCGGTGTTTTGACAAAAATGTCCTTTACATTTAATCAATCTCATCATATTCATTCAGTTTAGTCTATTTTACTCAGATTAAAACAGAATATAGTTTTGTGTTGTATTTTAATATTAATTCTAGTTTAGCAAAATTATGTGTCAAAATTGAACACACCAAAATGTGAAATGTATAAACATTTATAAAGGATGCAAACTCATCGTGGGTAAAAAGTGAACACAACAAATGCGTCACTTCGCTGAAATAAAGTCGGCAGCAACTTCCGGTTCACGCGGACTTTAAAGCGTAACTGTCCGAGCTTACTCGCGCGGAAACTCCTGATATAATCGATAACTAACTATACAATGAATATCTTATTTACATCGTGTATGCTTTCTTTTTGTCTTGTGATAATAGGAAGATCTGTGAGTGTGTAGAACTACGCAAACTTGCGAAAACAAAAATTCGGATTCTGACTAACCTACAGTAAACACCTCTGATTGGCCACTGCGTTCAACAGAGATGCCTGTGATTGGCTACAATACTCAATGCAGCAAAATACACGTTGTAAATAGAAACTTTTGATTTTGTAATTCGAAACCAGAGTGTGCACACAAATACACACAGGAGCATTTGAAAGCGGGTGACCAAAAAAACCCCAAACATTTTCTCATCGGATCGACACGAATCTCGTAGGTGACCTATTTTGATCCCAAAAAGGTGAACTTTCACCGAAAGGTGAGGAGTTTGCATCTATGAAGTATGCATTCAGCAAGAATGCATTAACTTGAACAAAAGTGACATTTATAATGTCACTAAAGACTTCTGTTTAAAAAAATTGCTGTTTTATTCATCAAATAGTCCTAAAAAATGTATCAGTTTCCACAAAAACATTGACACATCACAACTGTTTTCAACATTGACAATAATCAGAAACGTTTCTCGAGCAGCAAATCAGCATCTTAGAATGATTTAACTTTTGATTTTGTAATTCGAAACCAGAGTGTGCACACAAATACACACAGGAGCATTTGAAAGCGGGTGACCAAAAAAACCCCAAACATTTTCTCATCGGATCGACACGAATCTCGTAGGTGACCTATTTTGATCCCAAAAAGGTGAACTTTCACCGAAAGGTGAGGAGTTTGCATCTATGAAGTATGCATTCAGCAAGAATGCATTAACTTGAACAAAAGTGACATTTATAATGTCACTAAAGACTTCTGTTTAAAAAAATTGCTGTTTTATTCATCAAATAGTCCTAAAAAATGTATCACAGTTTCCACAAAAACATTGACACATCACAACTGTTTTCAACATTGACAATAATCAGAAACGTTTCTCGAGCAGCAAATCAGCATATTAGAATGATTTCTGAAGATCACGTGACACTGAAGACAAAATTCAGTTTTGATCACAGAAATAAATTACATTTTAACATGTAATCAAATAGATAACAGTCATTTTAAATCGTAATAATATTCTACAGTATTACGGTTTTTGATCAAATAAATTCAGCCTTGGTGAGCAGAAGAGACTTCTTTCAAAAAGAAAAAAACTGTCTGACCCCAACCTTTTGAATGATACTGTACATAAAATAATCTTATGGACAAATAACCATGACTAACTAATTAAAAAGACTTTTCTGTTGCATAGGAAGAGTAAGATTAGAGCATGTGGAGGGCCACGGGCCACTTCTAGTTAACTAACTGATTCACAACACACTTTACTAACACTGAGAGCAGCTAAACACAGCAAACTCAAGAATCTCCCACATGCTGCTTGTCAATGAGAACTCCAGCTGTGCTCCACAAAATATTAGAATTTATAGTATTTTAGAAAACATATCTGCATTAGTCTCTAATATACTCATATTTTAAATAAAAATGTAATAAATTCAGCTGGTGACACATACATAGTGCTTATATGCGAGCACTGTAACTCAACTGAATATTAGTCTTCCGACACATCACTGGACAGGCTCAATTAATATGCAGTCAATATTTACACACTGCTTGCCTATGGCATCAATCTTAAAAAATGATGGATCAAAGCTGCATTTTGGAAAAACGTTCCTTTCAGTATGGTAACCAAGCAAGACATATCCAAGCGTCCCGTCTCAAATGCAGACTGTGTACCATGTGATTGCCTGGATTTATTTGATGGATACACTGCACTTCAAGAAACAGAAAATGATGCAAGAAAATTCAACGATATACTCATTTCCTCCCAAAACTTAAAACACAAAACTTGAACAACATAGTTTATTAGCATCCAGTCAATATGAAATCAAAGCTGACCCTATCTTGTCTTGATACACATTCTTTATGATTCAACACTGCATGCTAAATAAATCAAACTTATAGCTCCTCGAATGTATTGTAAAAAGCCCTATACAAAACTAATGACTTACTTGCTTCTGTGCAACACAAATACAAATTTAGTAAAATATTTATGCAGCACTTGGGTGGTGACTTATATAGACAAGCTTTAGAAAGGACAAAATATGCACCTGACTTATGTGCTATATTCCACATATTCAGAAGAAAAATAATTATTATTCAGCTGATAGGAAGATTATACAGTAGAAGATTATTATTGAATTCAAGTGTCTAAAAGTGACATTTTTAATGTAACATTCGTGAATTAAATCTGAGAGCTGCATTTGTTCTTTCCAGAGCTGACAGTATCTGACACTAAACCTTTCCTTTTGTGATTCACAAACGATAGTCATAGAGGTTTGGAAAGATATGATGGATAATAAACAACACCTCGTGGTAATTCAGCATGTGCTAATGCCAAAAGCAATTCTTAATTAAATAAGGAACAAACAGGAGTGTGTTTTTGTTACGGTTACTGAAAGGCACTCACGTTAAATTTAATGATGTCGTAGATGAGATACCGCGGGACGGGCTGGCCGTTCACTTTGTCGACAATCATCTCCTGCAAAAAAAAGATGGCGACGATAAGAAATGCAGATATAATGCCCATAAATCAAGCCTATAAAGATCAACATGATGTAACAATGTGATAAAAAAAAAATCAATATAAGATATTTAGCGTTAAAGCTCAAGCACAGGCACGAATTAAAGAATAGTAAGATAGTAAGTTAATACATGGGGTCCTAATGTCTGATATCAATTAAATCTTTTCATTTAAACCTGTATATTAAAAGATTTATTTATTTCAAACAAAGGAATGTTTTGACTAAGGCTGCAGAGAGTAGTGCTGGGAGGTATACCGGTTCATACCGAATACCGGTGTTTATTTTTGTTATGATATGGATTTTTAAAATACCGTAATATGTCGCTTAAACAACGTTGGGAACGTGACACTGTTTGAAAGAGGTCTCTTTTCAGTGTTGCACTGTGGTGAGGGAACAGCTGTATGTGTTACTAAGCCTGAAAGTTCAGAAACTGAAGCTGTAGAACTAATAGAACGTGATGACACAGAAGAACTCATCCACAATATCCACACTGACCTCCACAAATATCCAGCACCCCTGACATCAGCTCCCGCGTCTCACACACATGAGCGCGAGTTTAGCACTAGATTTAGCAACTTTCAGACCCTTTTAGCGGCTTTTTTCCATAGAATATTCATACTGACAAACCTAGTGACTTTTTGGGATAAAGCTTAGCTATGGTTCAGCTGGAAGATTTCTCCAGTGCTGTCCCGCGAACACGAGGTCTGACTTTCCCGGAGAAGTGTCGCCTCTCTCGGCGTGTGTTCTGTGCAGTGAGCGGCAGAGAAGCACCGCAGCCGACTCCTCAATAAATGAGTACAACACAGCGTTTCCTAGCACCTGTCGCTTACTGATTGTTTGGAATTATAAATATGAGCATTAAAAGGGGTCGTGTTTAGTCACTATTTAGTGTGGTATTTTTTGACAATATTCACTCATCATGACAGTAAAATAGTGCATTCTAAGTCAATATACTGCAGTATTTCCTCTCAATCAGTAGAAAATATGGTTAACACTCGGTCATGCATGAAAATAGAATACCGTCATGTACCATGAAACCGGTTTAATTTTGAAAAAAACCGTCATATACATTTTTGGCCATACCGCCCAGCACTAGCAGAGAGTAATCAAAATCAAAAAGAATCAATAATGAATCAATATTGATCTGTGAGCTGTACGCAGGCAGTGACCTTCACGCTGGTGAAATGCCCATTTTTATGGAAAAAACCCTTTACAAATGCAATGAAGAAAAAATAGAAGCACGGGACACTTTAAACACGTCATACTCCATGTTTTTTTATGTTTAATGGTGAAGTGAGGGTGATAAAGCTGTTTCTGTGCTCCTTCTAGTGTTAGAGGTATCCATGTTTTTCATTCAGTCCATCGGATATAATCGTTTTGCTCTTGATGTGAACGGATAAATTGCCTGCTGTTATGAAATAACTGTTAAGACTTTAGTAAGCACCCATGTTGGCCATTTTTCACTCGTGTTCTCAGATCTCTTGACCTTCAACATTTAAAGTCATTTTTTAACATTTTCATTCATTTCAAGTTTAAATTGAGCATTTTGGATCAAGTTCAATCAGTATAATCAAACACAGCTGGACTCGAATGAAGGTGTAGAACCATCTCAAGGCTGATCAGAAGAAATGGACAGCCCCTGAGTTAAATATATGAGTGTCACAGCAAAGGGTCTGAATACTTAGGACCATGTGATATTTCAGTTTTTCTTTTTTAATAAATCTGCAAAAATGTCAACAATTCTGTGTTTTTCTGTCAATATGGGGTGCTGTGTGTACATTAATGAGGAAAAAAAATTTACTTAAATGATTTTAGCAAATGGCTGCAATATAACAAAGAGTGAAAAATTTAAGGGGGTCTGAATACTTTCCGTACCCACTGTATATTACTCTTAGGGTGGCCTGCACCAATAAAGACTGATCATGATTAAATCATGATTTATCTAATAATTCAAATAGCCAGGTTCACCTTAAACCCTCATTTTAATCATGGTTTTCATTTGAAGATAAATCTAAATGAACTTTAAATTAATTAAGCTTAAACTTGAATCCTTTTGTTTTCACTCAGATTGAAATCTCAGTTAGTTTGCTGCGGAGGAGGTTTAAATTACAAAACAAGTGGACATAACTGGACAATTAAAAGTGGCAGACTGAGCAAAGACAGACAGAGCAGGTGTTGTGACAGGGCTCTGAGATATATTTATATTTATAGCAAATAAATATGTCCATAAATGATTAAAAGGATGGATTAGGGGTCTTATCTCAGTGGCGGAGAGATTTAGCATGCATGGGAGTGAGACACACTGCGCTATAGGAACATGCGGGACAGCGGACAACGGGACACATGCCACATGCTCATCATATTATATGTGCTCTTTCATCTTTTATACTACTGTTTTATTCTGTGTTTTAATGTTACAAGATGCTGCGTTGATCAGTCCGGTAAACGAACAATTTTTCTATATAGTTATTTATAGCGTTTTTATATTCTACACTACCATTTCAATGTTTGGGGTCAGTAAGATTTTCTTTTTTGAAAGAAACTAATTTTTGTGTTGAACAATAATGAATTAAATAGATTAAAATTGACACTTTAGACATTTATAATACAACAAAAAAAATCTAATAAATGCTGTTCTTTTAAACTTTCTATTCATCAAAGTATCCTGAAAAACAAATCATGATTTCTAAAAATATTGGGCAGCACAACTGTTTTCAACACTGATAATAATCAGAAATGTTTCTTGAGCAGCAAATCAGCATCTTATACTGATTTCTGAAGATCATGTGACACTGAAGACTGGAGTAATGATGCTGAAAATACAGCTGCGCATCACAGGAATAAATTACAGATTAACATATATTCACACAGAAATCGGTTATTTTAAATAGTAATAATATCACAATATTACAGTTTTTACTGTAATAAATAAACTTTAAATAAATGCAGCCTTAGAGAACAAAAGAGACTTCTTTCAAAAACATAAAAACATCTTACAGACCCAGTGCTAAGGATTTTTTTCGACTGGCCCGGTCGGGACCACAGTAAAAGAGACACTTTAAGGGCCCTATCATACACTTGGCACAATGTTTTTTGCTAGTTTCAGCCCGACAGTGACAATTTTCACATCCTGCGCCACATTGTTTAAATAGTAAATGCATTTGTGCCATTGCTGGTCTGAAAATGAGGTGTGTTCATGCGCATTGCTATTTTGAGGCAACTGGCATAGACTGTGCCATTGATCAACTGAAACCTGGTCTAAAGTCTGGCGCAATATATATTTTTTGTTATTTAAAGAGCGCGTTAGTAATATGCGCCGATAGGTGGGTGAACAACGCGTGTACACTCTGCTTATTACACACACCGGGACACGCAGCAGCACACAAACATTTTTAAAAATTAAAAATTATTTTATAAAGGACTCAAATGTAAAATATTATTATTGTGTACATAAATATAAAAATGCCTACATGTCATAATGGATAGTCATTGCATGTATCAGAATTACGTGCACAAGCAGATCCGTTTCCTCGCTAGAGAAGCGTTCAGTTTCTCCGCTTGTAAATTCCGCCGTGTAAATAGCGAATATATCGGTGCGAGCGCAACTGGCTCTTAAAGGGAATGGGAGATGAGACTCTGATTGGTTTATGGCACGTTACAGCCAAAACACACCCATGACTCATTAAGAGAATAGGGACAACCATTTTAGACCAAGCGCCGGGCGCGCCGACCATTTTTCCCGTCCTTAAACTAGCAAAAGTGGATTCGGACACGCCCTAAGTGCACTTGTGCCGTGCGCTTTAGACCATGCGCTTAGATCGTTAATCCCACCCGCCCGCTCCGTCACACGCTTGAGGTATTCGGCCAATCACAACGCACTGGATAGCTGGCCAATCAGAGCACACCTCGCTTTTCAGACCGATGAGCTTTGTAAAAATCGATGCGTTTCAAAAAGGCGGGGCATAGAGGAGAAACAATAATGTACAGTATGTGGAAAATAATGTGTTTTTAACCTTAAACCGCATAAACACATTTCATTACACCAAATACACAAAATAATGTTCTTTTTAGCAGCATCATATGACCCCTTTAAAATAGGGCCCTAAGAGACAATTCATGGATGCAATATGATACACAGATTGCCTTCTCGACTGTTTGCGTTCACTGAAGACATACTCACCAAGATGGGCATTTTGATATATTTCTGTGTGCATTTGTTCATTCAAGTTAAAGGCGGCGCGAAACAGAACTTAATTCTGTGTTTGCGCGTTGTCTGAGAGAAAGATCCTCTTTAACATTTAAAGAAAGATACATTAGCTCACAACACTGACTTATTTTTTGACCGTCTCATGTAAACCAAACCTGTGAGCCTCCATTAAGTGTAGAAATAGAGCACATCCTCTCTGCCTAACCCGATTAACAGGCTTTCAAACCGTGCAATAACTTACCCCATCCAGAAGCGTGTTGGAAAGATGGGTGCGAAGATCCTTCCGGAAAGGAAACTCCAGGTTGGCTATGTGAAAGATCGAATTGTCTCTGTCAATCATATGGACTTCATCTTTTGCATCTATCAACATCATGTACCTATAAAAACACAAGCGACAGAGTGATGAGATCGAGTTTCATTTACCCCTACCTCAAACAACTCTATGATATATAAATAATTTTTTTTAAATATTTAACAGTCCAAGCATATCTATATACAGTGGGGGGGTCTGAATACTTTCCGTACCCACTGTACATATAGAATGCTGCATCAAACAAATTCATAAACGTAGGGGGAAAAAATGTAGATAGTAAATCAACTCCATAGTGTATTTCAAGTGATCAAAGGTTTAAGACATTCCAATTCAGCCTAATGCAAGGGTTCCAACGTAATCAACATATATCAATGTGACGGAGGGAAGGGCATAAAAACGAAGCAGAAAGCAGCCCAAGTTTCACTATGACAGACCAAAGTGATACTGAGAGTTTTCCTTGTTAGGGTTATGTAATTGTCAATTTTGAACGGTGGCAAAAATCAAAAGTTTGCACAGTACTTTCTGTGCGACTTTCTATTACTAATTTTGATAAAACCGATATGATAACTGATGTGTACCCTAGCAACCGTATAGCAACACCCTATCAACCATCCCAGGAACCCTAGCAACCAAATTGCAACACCCTAGCACCTCCCCGAGTACCTTAGCAACCGCATAGCAACACCTTAGCAACCACCCCGGGTACCCTAGCAATGGCATAGCAACACCCTAACAACCCTCCCAGGTACCCTAGCAACCATATAGCAACACCCTAGCAACCATCTCGGGAACCCTAGCAACCGCATTGCAACACCCTAGCAACTCCCCGAGTACCTTAGCAACAGCATAGCAACACCTTAGCAACCACCCCGGGTACCCTAGCAAATGCATAGCAGTTGATATTGATAAAAAGATTTGCAAGAAGCATGGTTAAAAGAAACATTTCAACATCTTAACATGGCGGTCAAACTGTTGAGTGATGTTTCAAAGAGAATTATGTTGAACTCAAACTTTGTATTGATGAGGGTTGGTATAAAGACCACCAAATACATTGAGGACCCTAACAGTGACCAACAAATACAAAGAAGAATTTACTAATAAGAAACACAATGTTACAGGTAAACGATGAAAGGTCAAATAGCGGTGACTGGAAAATTTTCCAGCTACAAAACAAGAAAGAACAAGAGAAAAAGAAGTCTAGCCAGATTCAGCAACTCTTGGCTGTTTATGAGCAGAAATTAGCATCTGAAAAGAAAAGCACTGATTGAGAAAATACATCCCGGCAGCATCGACACTGCAGGAACTGATGAGCCGCAAAGCCTCATTTCATGTGGTTCACCGCCATCAGAAAAATTAAGATAAATACTTTTCATAATGGGCATGATTAAACAAAGAAAAAATAAATCAGGTGAGGTTAAGTCTAGTGAAATTTAGCGACCACTCCAGAGGTGTTCTCCTCTGTCATGTTTCCAGCATAGATGATAAATTGAAGACTCTAAAACAGGATGCAAAAAGGGCACAGAGTAAAAGGAGGCTCCGAGAAAGCAGGCAGCTGAAAAGAGAAAGGAATATAAGCTGTATCAGGATGTAAAATAACTTGAAATCCATCCAGAGAAACTAAATGCATGACGGATGACACGGCATGAACTTCACCAACGCTTGGATGAAGCCGCAGTGGAGATTTTTATTCGATAAAACTTTTACTTCCAAAGTTTCTATAGGCTCAAATGAATGCTAGCACATGTATAAAGACAGCCCTATTAACAGGTGCAGTCACATTAAAGGGGTCATATGATGCTGCTAAAAAGAACATTATTTTGTGTATTTGGTGTAATGAAATGTGTTTATGCGGTTTAAGGTTAAAAAAACCCATTATTTTCCACATAATGTACATTATTGTTTCTCCTCTATGCCCCGCCTTTCTGAAACGCATAGATTTTTACAAAGCTCCATCGGTCTGAAAAACGAGGTGTGCTCTGATTGGCCAGCTATCCAGTGCTTTGTGATTGGCTGAATACCTCAAGCGTGTGACGGAAATGTTACGCCCTTACCATACTGTGATGCTGTGTCCCGGCGCGATGAGACAACACCAATAAAACCCATTACAAACGAGGCATTTGTTGCATCCAGTGGGGACATAATTACTGATTATAATGACTTAAGCTGTCTTTTTACGCGTTGCGTTGCATATCGCGCTGAGTAAACATAAAACCATGTCGTCAGTAGCAAATTCTTTAAATATAAAAAAACTTACTTACAGGCTGTGAGTCAGAAGCGCCAGACTGTCCTTGCAAAGTTGGAACTGCCCCACTTTATAGAAACAGCCTTTGTGCACAGACGCATTGTAGGCTACTCTGCAGGTTCAGGAAACAGTCCTCCATAAAATGCGCTGCACACATCTGAATATTTGGGTTGAACTGTTCTGGAACAGTGTTGTAAATACAACTTAACCACTGATTTCTAGTTGTGTCCTCTTTTGAA